TATAAATTCAATGTTAAAATAATTTATTAAATTCTCAATGAATTAATTTGGGATCATAATTTTAAAATTATATTTATAAAAATAATTAAAATTTTAAAAAAAATTACATATTTGAATATTTTGTCTTCTTTATAAAATAAACAGTTTTCAGAATTTTACAATTAAAATATATATAAATATGTAATATCAAATAATTTAGAAAAAAATCGAAATGGAAATATAGTCAAAAGTTACATGATAGTATAAAACAAAAACAAGCATATTTTTTTTTATTATTAGTAAAACACGATTGAATACATTATATATTTATTTTAAAATGTTAAATTAAATCAATGAGAGGTTTTAAACGTTAAAAAATAACATGCAATATGATGATGTAAAATTAGCTCCCAGTTAAAGGGTTAATGGCAGGTAAAATTATTAAAAGAAAAATATGGAGACCATCAAATGAAACTCCTAAAAACAAAAAGGAAAGTTACCTTATATCAGACGTTAGATACGATAAAATAGGGCTTTGGTCAGAAGTTTCCAACACTCGAAAACGGTATAAACTATGTGTTAGCGCATAGTGTGAAAAATGTGAAATTTATTTATGATTTAACCAGGATAGAAATTGTTTTAAAACATTTCATAATAAATATTTTTTGTATACATGCATTGAGCTCAATGATGTCAAATTATATCATGCCTTTATTTTACCTATATATCTAATATATATAATCTCCATAATCATAACACGATCGTTATCTCCTTAATGTATTTTAAATTTAAGGAGACTATATAGTGTAATGTTAATTTTTTGCTCTCTACGAGAATCGAACTAGAGCCTCCCGTTTCAAAGTAATATGCTTTACCGCATGCACCAACTTGAATATAAATAAATTTAAAATATTAATTATATATATATTAAAGTTTCACGCATGCACCAACTTGAATATAATTAAATTTAAAATATTAATTATATAGATGTTGAAGGGTAATTATATAGTTTGTGTGTATGGTATTAAATATATCTTATTAATAAATTTTAAATAAATATTAAAATTTAAGAGTAAAAGAGGTAAAATTGGTGCAATGTATAATGTGAGCATGTATTAGAAATATCAAAATTTAAAAATGTGATGGAAATCATATTGAATAAAATTTAAAATGGAGGTGCTTTAAGATTTTTGAATTTTAAATATGGGTTATAGATTGGTCTGAAATTTTTTTTCGCAGACATAGCCAGGCCTGATCAAAAAACCATGTCCCATGTAACTTTCATAAATTAATTAATAGTTAACATTTTTAAAATTTTGCCTGAACATTTTTGATTAAATGTATAACCTTTTTGTTTTACTTATATATATAATTTGACTATGATTGAAGTTTACCTCCTATTATTTGTTAACTTAGACATATCTTTTTATTTTTTCTATTGTAATTTAATAACAATTTCTTAAATTTAATTTTATATTTTGTAAATAAGTAATAAATCATTTGGTTTGTTTAAAATTTAAATTAGGATGAACATATTTTCAGAATGGTACTTTAATATGTATTCATGAATTTCATATTAAATACCAGGAGCTCACCAGTAGAATCATAGGTAAATCATAATTTAGAAATTAGACAGATTTAATTCTTATAAACCCCTTACATCAGACCTATTTTTCTGGATCAAAATAAATTATTTGGGTTTTACTGGGCTTGGAAAATATTTTTCACCATTAATATGGACTTGGACATAGCTTGAGAAACATTTTTCATAATTATTATAGTCTAAGATTCCTGTAAATTTTTTAATTTTAAATATGGGCTAGAAATTGGCCTGAAAATTTCTTTTGAAGGCATGGCAAGGCCTGATCAACAAAGGCCCATGCAACTTTCATATTCTGATTGTATTTTTAAATGCATTGTGACTTTTTATATATTTTATTTCAGTCCTCAACTATCAAAATTATTATGGTCTTTTGCGGGTTTGAGAAAACCAAGTGCGACTGGCTTGGGAATTTTTTTAATATTAGGCATAGGTGTAATATTTAACACAGAATATTTATATGGCCCTCAGGTAAGATTTAATTTAAATATATTTTTATTCAAAAAAATAGTATTCACTCTTAGTCTTAATGAGTTGGCCTTGGTTGGGGTTAGCTGGGTTAAAATAGACTAAAAAATAGATATGGTTTTTAGAGATTTACCTATCTCCAGGCTTGGAAAAAAATTTAAATTAATATCGGTTGGCCAGGTTTGAAAAATTTTTTTTATAAAATTATTATGGGTTAGGCTGGGCTTGGAAAATATTTTTATAAATTATATTGGGCTGGGCTTGGGAAAAATTTTTCAAAATTATTATAAGCTTGGACGCTTGAGAATTTTTTTATTATTAATTATAGGTCAGACATTGGCCCAAAACAAATTTTTTTGCAGGCCTGGGCTTGACCTGATCAAAAAACCAAGGCCTATGAAAATCTGAATTTTGATTGTATTTTTAAATTCATTATGATTATTTAAATATTTTATTTCAGTTCTTAACTACCAAAATTATTATGATCTTTCATTGGGCTTGGAAGAATTTTTCATAATTAATATGGCTTTGGACTTTGACTGGGAATTTTTTTTAATATTAAATATTAGGTATCAGTAATATTTAACAAATAATATTGGTATTATCAAGTAAATGCTTTAAATTTATTTTTACTCAAACCATAGCACTTAGTTTTAATGGATTAAACCTGGCCTGAAGGGATGAGGGGGTAAGAAGAATAAAAATTGGATATTATTTTCAAATAACAGGTAACATGCATAAAAGTAAGAAGATTTTCATTCCCCGTCATTTTTGGGCTATCTACTAGTTATGAAATAAAAGTCGAAATAAAAAATTTTTATCTTTTGTTTATATAAATGAAGATTTTTTATAAAAAAAAATTTTAGTTTTAATTTAAAAAGTCGAGCTTTAAAGGGTTAAAATTTAAAGAGCATGCTAGAAATGTAGTTAGATTCAAGTTGAAGATAATAAGTAAACATCCAATTTATATATAGCTAAAATAGCTGGTAAACCTTTTCTTCCAAGCAAAGATTATAATAACACTAACTATGTAGAGCAAGAATGCCATATTTTAGCCAGCAGACTATACCAGAACAATGCACTAACTTTTGGGAAAAAGTAGCTGGAACTGCGTAGACTTGTTCATTTAGCTAGGAAAGTACCTTGAACATCTCAGCCAGTACACCCAAGGATAGAACAGACTTGGCCGTAAATCAAAATTTGGTTATTTGTTAATTTTAAACCCGGACCGAGTTTAAAATTAGCCAATTTTTTTTGAAAAAAATAGGGCCGTCCGGAGGTTGAAAATTGAATATTTGATAAATCCGAGACCTTAGCAGCTCATGCGTAAAGAACCTTTTTATTCCCCATAAATCTTGACAAAATATTATTTATTTAATATAATTTAACCAAATTTGATCATTTATATTTTGCTTGCAACCCAAATTTATATAATGATTTGTTTTAGTAAAAATGGATAGAATATTATTGATGTAATGTGATTATGACCTGAGCAAAAAGGCAATTCCTTATTAGTCTCTTTCGGAGAATGGAAAATACATTAATTTATATAGGGGTGGAACAGGAAATGATTTAGAAACTAAACTATTAAGAATGTTAAACTTAAGTGTCCAAATCAATTATAAAATGTTGTAAATTAAAAATTAAATTTATTTTTTAAATTTTAAGAATAGTAGCGTCGTGGACGCAGCTGATAAATTAGGTAAACCGATAATTACTAATGAAAAATAAATATCCGCAGCCGATTAAGCCTTAGGCGCACAGGTCTAATTATATCTCACTTATCTTAAATATTATTATTTACTATATTAAATCAAAGATGGATTTTTTTTTAAATCAAGACACCATTTCATCAGATTGGAACTGAAAATTTAATAATATTGGCCAATAACTGAAATTTAAAAAAAAAGATGAAGGGCAATCCGATAAAAAAAAGATATAGGCACATCCCTATTTATTATTAAAATAGCGGCTCGGAGAAAAAAAATTTAAGTTTTCCCAGAAAATAATAGAAGCGATAAAAAGATTGTTTTCAAAAAACATTTGTTGAATTTAAAATATAGATTTAATTTTTGTTAATTTTATATTTTAACTTTATAAGTTATTGGTAGTTGATACAGTTTATTAGAGGCATCAAGTTTATATCGATCAATCACTGAAAACAACTGATCCAATATCACTAATCTAATTTTTTTAAAGTATACTTGAATATTTTTTGAACACATTGTTTTTTAACATAACCCTATCTATTCTATTGTAATATTAAATATTAATTAACAAGTTTCAAGGTGTATATAAATTTGCATAGTCCTGCAGGGCCAGCCCGTCAGCCATGCAATAACTTCATCAATAAAATATAGGTTCATTCCCTGACGCTAAAAATATTAATGTTATATTACCTTCATATTTTTCCTTTTTTTGCTTGATTGAATATCAAATGATAAAAAATGATTTAAAAAATAAGGAATTTTTTTTAAAAAAAATCAGAAAGGGAAATATTTTTTATTCAATTTAATATCATATTTTATAATAATTCGATAAACATCGTTAAATTATCAAAGTTATACCTGATATTTAAATTTAATGCATGACATTAAAATTAGAATAAAATAAATATTTTGAGGTTGAGATTTCCTCCCATAAGCATTTTTAAAAATACTAGGGGCAATGGAGTTGGACTAAATCTAAAAAAAATATGTCAACGGCCGCGGGTTCAGGTCGAAAAAATGGATTTTGCAGGTCTATAAATTAGTCCTGTTAAATTAAACTTAGTAATTACCACTTCGAGAAATTTTAGCGATATAGGTGTCAGTGCTCAAACTGACAAAATTAGTGGCCGATAACAGATCAAAATCGTATAATTTTTTTGTCAATAATGAAAGTCAGGTGATTTGTTTTAGTCCTTAACCATACTTCAATTTGGTTTTAAAATGAATTTGAGCAAAAATTATACCGATTTCTCTGAGAACTTTCATTTAAACATTGATCAACGCCTAAAAGACAGCAACCTCGATTCTTCAAGTTATCCTGCATTATTAAACCAAAATTATCACCCATATTTACCTAAAAAAATGTTATAATAATTTAGTTTTTAATTTTAATTGGTAAAATATATAAAGAGATGTTACTTATACCACTAATTATGTGTTAGGATTATGCTACAGCTTCAACTATTTAATTTTTTAAATTTAAATTTGTGCAGCTGGGTCATTCCACATGAAATCGAAAGCATTTCGTGTGCATCCTTCGCAAATGAGATTTTGCAGTTGTGAGCAATGGCGTAGCTAAGAATTTTACTTAGAGGAGGTCCATACATATAAAAGACTGGGGGCTTTGCCCCCAGACCCCCTTTAACGGGCCTTCGGCCCTTTTGCCCGGCCTTCGGTCGGGTTTATCTTAAAAATCATAACAATATATTCGAAATTATATAATATACATATTTTTTAAATTCATCAACAATATATTATTATAATTTAGTAGATTATTCTCAATGACTTTATAATAATACTATCCAGAATAATTTCAATAGTAATATAATATCCTTCCACAAACATCAAAAATAGAAAAATATAAATATTCATGGTATTTATTTGATATAAAGTCACTTTTAAGTCTTTTGAAAGCATAATCTAAAAAAAAAAAATTTTGCTCTGGGAGGGGTCCAAACCCGAAAACCACCCCCGTAGCTACGCCACTGGTTGTGAGGTATGTTGTGGGGAAAGTAGGGGAGACCGGGGTTATATTGTCCATAAAAAATTGAAGTGCTATAAAAAATAGATAAAGAAAATTTCAAATATTTAAACAGTTTTATTCAGGGTTTGCAAATCGGTCAATTGAGTGGAGGAGTATTTGACCTGGTTAAATACGGTCAAATACTTTAAAAAAGTTTGAAAAATTAAAAATATGTTTAAAAAAAGAAATAAATACATGTGATCACAATGCTACTTATTTATTAAGCCCCCAATATCAAAGGAAGCATCTCACTAGTAATGAATATAATGAAGTATGTAATATAACACGATTAGGCATTTTACAAGTTGGTGATGATCAAAATATTTCAAATGATATCATAAATTTTAGAAGTAAAAGCGACATGTTTAATAGTTAATTATGCGGAAAGATAACTTCCATGAGAAATAATCAGATTTAGGCCTCAAGTTAGTTGAATGAGCTTTGCCCACCATGCCCATTAAGAGAAGTGGCATTTTATTGACAATTCCTAGTTCTACTTATTATTCAGAAAGAAATTGGTTGATTTGGGTTACTTACTAAACCGAAATCGATTGAAGATTTAGACAGCAGGAAAATTGATTAAAAAATATTAAAGAAAATGATAATATTGAATATGAATCAGAACAAGACTTTGTCATGGAGAGTTAAACATTAGTTATTGAATGACACGGATTTAAATAATATTATAATTTTACTACTATATACAAAATAAAGTTAATATAGACTTGAAAAACATTTATTTGAATTTTACCATATTTGACCGGTCAATTGATCTAAACGTATTAAACCGGTCAAATATACAACCCTGGTTTTATTTTTTACATATATCTCTACGGTAGAAATTAATATTTTAAGAATTATAAAAACACCCGGGATACCTTTTAACCTTTTGCAATGTGTGTAACCCTTCTTTTTTAGATTTTTTAAAAATATATTACATAAAATGTTAATACTAAGTATAATAATGAAGATTCATGTCAAATATGTTATAAGTACCAAGTTCATCCATATTATATATCGTCTAGAATCACTTAAAGCTGTTATATAATTTACAAAAAAACAAATCAAACATCTTCATATTGTCATTTATCAGACAAACTCGTGGCTTCTGGAGTTCTTATAAATATAGTTGTTTTTTATTCAAAATAAATCCCTGCTTAAAATAATCGCACCACGCCAAAATATGTCCCAGGTTTTCAATTTCATATTAATTAAAATTTAATTTTAAGATATTAAATTAGCATAAATATTGTCAATATTTTTATAAATGATAAAATTAATACTTGATCATTTAGAATTGAAATTTAGTCTAAGTAACTTTTATAAAAAAAATTAATTAATAAAAATGTAAAAAATTAAGGTTACTTTTGACGTATTAAATTTTAATTTGCATTTAAAACTTTACATGAGCATAATTCCAGAAATATACTCATATAAATTTAATAATAAAAGGTGCGGTAGAAATTAGTTTTCGGTTTTTTTAATTTTTTTAAAAAATATAAATATAGATGGCATTATGCAAAATTTTTAGATAAACTACTTTTTATTGGATAATATTATTACCTAATTTTTTATTAAAGAATTCGATTTAAAAAATCTCAGAAATATTATCATCACAAATTATTTTTTTAAAAATTATTATGGAGAGCGATTTATTGAAGTATTTTAACGAAAAGAGTTTATACAAAATCAAATGGCAATTTATGTGCTTAGCGTAGTTCTACCTACAAAAACCATTGATTCTATTTTATGTAATCCATGTCTCTAATATTGAACCCATTCTTTATATTTTCATATCTAGGGCATTCCGCGCTCCTCAAAATAGCAATGATGCGCAGGATGGCACACCCTTTTAAATATACTATAATCATAACTATTTTTCTTCTTTAAATGAGATATTAATTATTGATGCAAATAGCATTGAATTCATTAAAATGTTGTTTAATAAAGTCGTAATTCCTTCCAGTCTAGACCAATAGAAAACATCTCGTCGGTATAACATCAATTCCATAAAGCAGATGTCAATGTTTGGGACTTTGCGTGTACCGACCCTATTTCTTTATCTAACATAATTAGAGATGCACTCTCCACATAGGATATATTGAAAAAACCAATAATCCCATTAATTTATTTATTTCATACATTTCGGCTCTTTCATTGTTTGCATGAAAGCCCTTAAATTAGTTAGGGAGATCTGCAAGTGCATCACCGATAAAATAAAAATAGGGGTGATTCCACGTCAAATCGACAAAAAACGAGATTTATGGCCGACCATCTCAAAAATGAATGAAATTTGAGATATTAGTTATTTATGATGTAAATGTTAATAAAATCAAAATTTTGGAGTGCTAGCTCAACCAGATCTAAAGATATACGCCTTCAAAGTCGAAAATCGCAAAGTGCGTGATTTCATTAAATCTTGTTATTTTAAAAAATATTTTACAAATTATATATCATTGTTTAGCCCTTATAATTTTTATTTAAAAAAAATTAAAAAATTTTAAGTGTTATCTTATTTTGGGTAAAAATAAAAAATTAACATTGTTAGGAAGGGATTTTTTTTAGGTGTTAATATTCACTAAAAATGTTTATTACCTTTATATTAAACGATTTAATAAAAAATCTCGATAGCCATTTTTGTTTTTTTAATTTTTTTAAAATTTATATTATTTTTATAAATAAATAAATGTAATATAGATGGCGTTATATTAAATTTTTTTATAATATATAATTTATAATAAAAATATGAATAGTATTGTGATTAACATTAAAAAATCAATTGAGTATAACCAAGAATGATGTCCTGGGGCGATATGAGATATTATTTTATTGACGCTATATTGTAAAATAAACATATTTTAAAATTTTATATTCAAACTATTATAATTTTGCACTTATTAATAGAAATTCCTACGGCATAATTTGTAGATATATCCTTTCATTGTTGTAGATCTACTATCGTTATTATTTTATTTTTTTATTCCTATCATCGCTACCAATCAATCATCATATATTTCAAAACTTAAACATTTTTTACAACCAAATGAATTTATGATAATTTGTGATTTCTCTGAAAATTATGCATTTATAATACAAGACACTGTTCAAGGATTCCATTGGAATAATAATCACACTATCCACTTATGATAGCATATTATAATAATAAGGGCAATATAGAAAATCTTAATTATATGGTAATATCAGAGTCAATTCATCATAATGTTATTGCAGTACATTTATACCAGACTAAAATGATAAAATTTTTGACCAATCAATTCAGCAAAAAGTCAAACAAAATATATTACTGCTCTGACGGATCAGCTGCGCAATATAAAAACAGAATTTTTTTTATAAATCTGTGTTATCATGAATCAGATTTTGGTGTAGCAGCTGAATGGCATTTTTCAGCTACATCCCATGGAGCACGTTCAAGCCTTCAGCATATCAGTTCGACACATTTTAACACCAGTTGATATTTGCAAAACAAAACATGCCATTAGTAAATTTTACATATAATCAACGAACAATACAATTTACAAGAGATTAAACTACGAGAAAGATTCAATTTAGCTCATCCCATTCCAGGAACTCGGGAAATACATGCTGTATTTCCTTTGAGTTTAAGGGACTTTCAAATTAACAATATTTCAAATGCCGATAATTTGTCTTTTGCCGATATTAAAGGATTCGTAACATGTGTTTATGACGATTTTTGGTGGTTAGCCACAGTACTAAAAAAGAATGAAATTAGTGAGGAGATATATATTCTTTTTACATCCCCATGGACCATCACCATCCTTCTTTTACTCCACAATTGCGGAAAAGATATGGTTACCCATTAATCAAATAATAACAGTAGTAGATCCTATTACAGTGACAGGACGTACCTACAAATTATCGTCTCAAGAAATTCTATTAATAAGCATAAAATGGGATAAGATTAAAACAAGAGGTATTTATTTTTATATTGATTGTGTATAAAATTTTAAAATATATTTATTTTATAATACAGCGTCCTAATAAAATCATATCTATATCGGCTGCCTGCTTACATATCGGCCAGGACATCATTCTTGGTTATACTCAATTGATTTTTTAATTTTAATCACAACACTATTTATATTTTTATTAAAAATTATATATTATATAAAATTAATATAACGCCATCTATACATTTTTTTATTTATAAAAATAATAAAAATTTTAATAAAATTAAAAAAACAAAATAGGCTATCGAGATTTTTTATTAAATCGTTTAATATAAAGGTAATAAACATTTTTAGTGAATATTAACATCCAAAAAAAATCACTTCCTAATGTTAATTTTTTATTTTTACCGGAAATAAGAAAACACTTAAAATTTTTTAATTTTTTTAAACTATTTTCCAACGTAAAATTTTAAGGGCTATAAAATGATATATAATTTGTAACTCTGTCTTAAACATTTTTTAAAATAACAAGAATTAGTGAAATCACTCACTTCGCGATTTTCGACTTTGAAGGGGTATATATTTGGATCTTGTTGAGCTAGCACTCTAAAATTTTAATTTTATTAACATTTAAACATGCCAAGTTTCATTCATTTTTGAGATGGTCGGCCGAATCGCTGGTCGCTTATTACCCATAGATGAACCCACGAAAGTCAGAACTTTCGATAAAGGCTTGCCATAAACATTATTCGATCAAATTATTTAAGCTTCATAAGTTGATGAAGAACTATAAATCTTTCTTTTTTAAATATTTTGTTTTTTTAAATATATATTTTCTAATATTTTATGGGGTTTTCCTATATATAGTTTTTTAAAATGATACTACATTATTATGATTAATTATCCTAATAAAATGTTTTAGTTATTAAAATTGTTAAAAGAAATTCTGAAAGTCATTTATTTTAAATTATTTGCATGTCATATTGATGTTTTTTATCGATAAAAATTTTTTAAAAACTCAAAATCAAATTTTTACCCCAACCAAATTTTATTATTATAAATTTACATTAATTTATTGAGCATATTTATAAAATTTAAACACATAACCGATATTTAAAAAAAATCACTTTTATCTTTTCCAACTGGATATTTATAAAAAAAAAATTTAATCAAGGGCTTATGGATCTATCTAATGATAAAATATAGGCCTATATCTTTCTAATTTTTCGAGTAATCTTTATTTTTATTAGTTTTGTCAAAATAGGTAAGGTGGGATTTTTGCAATTTGAACCCTAATACTAATTCATAACTAGGGGTGTATTGTAAGGGGGGCTAAGGAGGACTAGGCTCTCCTTCTTTTTCAGCCCCCTTTCCAAATTTTGAGGAGAGGCTGAGTCCCCCCTCGGCAGAAAAATATGTTTCAAAAATGTTAAATTTGAATCCATTTTATCTTTATGGCGGCTGCGTAGCGTTTATATTTTTTTAAAATGCGATTTGATTATATTTATAGATTAAATTATAATTTTTTAAATTTGAAATTTTGACATAAAACTTATATAGCTGATAGAAATGCTGAGTGAAATTAAGGCTGAAAATAAGGCTAAATTCCCTTCTATATTTATTATTTTTAATTAGAGCCTTTTTAATAGGGGAGGCGTATTTTAGTCACGCCCAAAAATAGTGATTTTTCGATAAAAATAAATGTTTTTCAATATTTTACTAATTTTATAAATTATATAGACGAGCTAAACACGAATCTATAATAAAATAATTATATTAAAAACGCTCTTTCATTAGGGGATTCTTAGTTTAGTGGCGAAAAAAAAATGCTTTTTTTGATTTTTTTAAACTAATTTACCAGTATTTATTTAAAATTAAAAACAACATTTCCTGAATAATATTTAAGATCTAATAGGGAATTCATAGTTTTGTCCAAAAATATAATTTTTTCAATATTTTAAATTTTTTTAAAAAAATCTAATATTAACATTTTTTAAATCCTCTTGAAGAGATATATATGACTATTTTCATATTTTTAAATTATAGCCTTTTTAATAGGGAATTCTTAGTTTAGTCAAAATAAATTATTTTTTTCAATATTTTAAATTTTTCTTAAATAAGTTAATATTAACATTTTCTTACTCCTCTTGAGGAGTTATACATGATTCTATATTTATTTATTTTAATTTAAGCCTTTTAAATAGGGGATTTTCAGTTTAATTTAAAAAAAACAACTTTTTTTTTATATTAATTTTTTTTAAAAATATCACATTCTCTGAATCCTTTTGAGAAATTATACATGATTCATAATTTATTTTTTACATTTAAGCCTTTTTAATAGGGGATTTTTAATTTATTATAAAAAAAATTAATCTTTTCGATATTTATAATAAAAAGAAGTTAATAGTAACATTTTCTGAATCCTCTTAAGATTGTATAAGACTCTACATTCATTTTTAAAATTAGACATCTTTAATAGGAATAGGTTTCTTATTTTAGTCAAAAAAATTTATTTCTTTCTTACTTAAAACTTTTTAAAAAAGTATGCATATTAACTTCTGAATATTAAAGAATTAAATATGTATCTATTTTAATTTTTTTAATATGCTATATAGCAAGGAATCTTAGGGAATCTTATTTTAGTCATAAAAAATATATTTACTACATTTACCATTTTTTAAAATATTGAAAAGGAATCATATTATTTATATATAATATGGGCCAGGGGATTTTTTTTATCAGTCATGCCAAATTTCAAATTAAACAGAGCTAGTTTTAATGTTTTTGCTTTTAATTAAATTAATAATATGGTAAATAAGTTTTAAAAAAATGTATATAACTTGTTCATAATTCAAAAAACAAATTGTGGATTTAAATCTGGAAACTATCCATTTCAACAATGAATCTGCCTCTGAATTTTCCATATAAACCAAAACACATTCAGCTAAAAATAAGGTTGGCTTACTAAAGTCAATAAAATTTGAATTTAGAGGATCATTTAATTCCAAAAATTTTTTATCCACCATATTTATGTCTCTAAGATTTATACTAAGAAGATCATAGTTATCTGAATGTATTTCATGATCTTGAGAAGTAACTGAACTTTTATGATGAGCCTGATAAGATGGTTTTAAATTTCCTTGTGGATTATTAGAAACATTTGTATTTTTTTTGTTTAATGACACTAAATTTAAAGTAAATAAATGTTATGTAATTTTGTTACAATCCATTATATTTGTTAAATATTGTTGTAAGTTAATATTATGGCTAATAATATGAGCCTTTTTATAAACCACTAATGGCAAGTCAATCTCAACATATTTTCTAAATTTAAGTTGACTTTTCATCAATCTCCAATATGTTGTATCAAATCCTGCACCCAAGCTGATAATTTGTGCCTCTTGTCCAAAAAGCTTTAATAAACTATCATTATTTACAATTACAATTTAATTACTTTTATAAAATATTCGATCATGCATTTGATTACATATACCCTAATATAATATCCCATGTTTATTTCTGGAGGTTTAGCTTTTGTGCTTTTACAAAAACTTTGTATAAAAGTATCATCATAATATCCCTTATGGACAGCAGAACTCTTGCAATGTGTTGCCTCATCGTTAGTACCTACAACTGCTTCATCACTGTCGAGTAAATTTTTTTCCAATTCGTTCATCTGCAATAAATAATGGGTTCGTGGTCGTAGTGCACTAGCTCGTATAAAAGCTGTATACGAGCTGGGATTTTTAAAACAGCTCGTATATAAAATAATATTTAAAAAAATACAAGCAGATAATATTAAACTGGCTTGTATAAAAATAGAGATCAAAGGATTTTATGCGAGCTCAGGATTTTAGACAACTCGCTAAAGCTTCTATTTTTTATTACTTTTAAAAAAAATTGTATTGTTTGTAAAGAAACTTGTGCATTTTAAACATAAAGTTGGAATTCATTTTTTTTCAGAAGTGAGAAATATTTATATATTTAAAATTTCTTTCAATTAGCATTTTAATTATGTGTGTATCTATATATTATATTTAGTTTTGCGAAAAAAAAAACATTTTTTTTAAAAAAATATTGTGTCCGTATATTTTTGGAATCACTGTTAAATTCGATATTTTTTATCTCAAATTATCTACAAACAAATAATTGTTATTACATAATCAATTTAGCAAAGATAAATGAAAACATAAAATAAATTGTTAAAATATGTACACATGCAATTTAACACTAGCTATATGATTAGAAATTATACTGAAGATAACTTAGTGCCATGTTCTATTTATCTCTGAACAGTGAATAAAATTTAAAATAAACAAAGATCAATATTACTTTTAAAATTTACTCTTGAGTGTTAATCTTATTTTTACTTATCAATCTTTTTTTTTATTGGGGGACTTTGTTAAAATTATTCGATCTTTAAACATCGAGGTCAGTTATTATTTTACTTATATATTCCTAGGTACCTGTTATTAAAGGATCATTTATGCAGTCTGGTTAATATTAATATACATAAAATAGGAAGTAAATCAAATAGGATAAATGCATGTGTAAAAGTCGATGGCCCTGCCAACCTTAACAGTAGTTGAATTCAATAGAATTATTTAATATATATTATATTATTATAGTAATTTGAATAGCAGCTTTAGATAAGTAGATAAAGATATAATCAGAGGCGTAGCCAGATGGGGGGGGGGGCAATAGAAAATCCTCCCTTCAGAAATTTGACACTATGTGTGATTATCAATTTAAGCTAATAAAAAATATCCCCCTTAGTCCTCCCCCCACTCCCTGATCCCCAAAAAATGTTTGCATATATCTTAGACAATAATTTGAAAGAAAGAATGTAAAAGTTGATATTTTTTTATAAAACTATTCATCATAATTTATACATTTTTGGAAAAAAGCATTTAGAAAAAAGTGAACCTAAAATGTTCTTTAAAAGCCAAAGATAAGTCTTAAGATGACAAAATAGAAATGTATTATAATCATTAATAATAGATCCATAAAATTACTAAATAATATAACATATCAAATATAATTTTTTATAAAGTTAGTAATTTTAATTAATTTATTTTAATAAAAGTAAAATATAATTATAAAACTAATTATAAAATTAAATCATAAATTAAATAAAAAAAATTAAATCATAAATTAAATAAAAAAATTAAATTGTAAATTAAATAAAAAAAATTAAAGCACAAAGTGGAATTTTATATGTTGTAGATTTACAGTATATCTAATTTTATCAATTATTAAATGACAATCAAATAATTTTTACCAATATGGCGAATTATATATTTTACAGAAAACAATAAAATATTGATAAGGACATCAGAAAAAATATTTTAAAGACATTGTGGGATGAATAATATTAAGATTAATTTTTATTATCATTTTTTATTTAAAATAAATAGATGGCGTTAAATAATTGAATGCAAATTGTTGCTATATTTATAATCAAGAGCATTGATTAGTAAAATTTGTTAAAATAATAACTGTAATATATTCTCTAACTGTCAAATATGTCTGTAAAAGTAGAATTTTACCTAGTATTTTGTAATCAATTCTATATAATAAAGGAGTATCAACTATATTTCTACTTACTTTTTATAAATATTTCTTATACTTGTTTAGAATAAATTATTACCAAGCTTCTATATTAATGTATATACAAGTAATTTATTATATTTTATATAAACTAATAAAAATATACTTCATATTTGTTCCAGGCTTATTTTTTTTTTATTAAAAATAACCTCCTATCTTGTAAAGATATTTTATGACTATATATAGACTCGGGCAAAAGCGGGCCGAAGGCCCGCCCAAAATTGACTCCAAGGGTAACCCCCAGCTTAGGAAAATTCTGGCTACGTCTATGGATATACTATTAGTTTGCAGTTGAATGGTATTAACCCAAACGCCACCTCATTGTTTAAAATATTTTAGTCTGTCCACCCGCTGGCCAATATTTTTTTAAATTATCTGCTAGCCCATTTATCTAATTGGTTGGTTTGGCCCTTAATTTATTTTAATGCTTCTTCCTCAGACAGATGCTGGCATCCTTAAAGCGAATTATATAAGCTTCAATGGCAGTCTTCTATCCACTCAATTCGCTAAACTGACTCTTCCTGCCTTATTCTTCTCATATGATATATCATTTTTTTTTTAATTTTGGACTTTTTTTTGTATATAAACAATTGCTTATTTTTTTAACATAATTATTGTATATTTAAAATATTTGTTGTAATTGTGGTAACATGCAAATTTATTAGATTAAGAAAAACGCCAAACAGGCAAATTACTTTTAAACAAAATTACGAAGCCCAAAGATGTTCAAATCTACAAGAATTAAATCTCGGTACAAATTGAGACTATGCAAATGTTGATTAAAGAAAAAGAATATATAAGGAGAAATTATGATGCGAAAAATAATGATTAAATTATGATTTTACGAATTTAATTTTTTTAATCTTTAATAATTAATTTTAATTTATATTAATTTATTTTATTTTATTTATTTTGATTATGTTTTTATCTTATTATTTAATAAAGATTTAGTATCATTTTAGTTCTAAATTTTCTTTATTTGACAACGGTTCTAATCCCAATCCTTCTAAATTCTTCAAAATGTTACATAGTGAAGAAGAATATAGGGAGCAAGAAGGTAGAAGTAGAAATTGAAGGAAGAATAGGAGTAGTTTCGAGGCATATTAAGCAATTAAGACCTAGGTGTCTAGATTAGTGATAAATGGCGTTGTAAATCGATTAAATTACTGAAATGTTGAGAATGCTGATAGACATAATTGATTTGTTTTGAACAAGTCTGCGAGAATTATGAGAATCAGAATGTAGAAAATGCTGATAGACATAATTGATTTGTTTTGAACAAGTCTGCGAGAATTATGAGAATCAGAATGTAGAGAATGCTGATAGACATAATTGATTTGTTTTTTTTTAACAAGTCTGCGAGAATTATGAGAATCAGAATGTAGAGCATGCTGATAAACATAATCGATTTTTTTTTAACAAGTCTGCGAGGATTATGAGAATCAGAATGTAGAGAATGCAGATAGGCATAATTGAATTGCTCCTTTAACAAGTCTGCGTGAATGACGATAATCAGAATGTGACATATCAAGTACACTAGAAGGTATGAACAAGTTGATAAAAAAGAATGAGAGAGGCATAGGTAATACGAGAATGATTAAGAGTATTGAGAATTAGGAAGCGGTTGAATTATAAGAGATAAATACATGATAAATATAGTATATTTTCAGCTTTAGTCCGTGATAGATGGCGTCATACGTGCGAGTGGGAAACTATATTTTGAAGATCGAAATTAGAATGGTTGACGGATCCGCTGAATCGAGAAGATAGATCGATGCCGCCAGAGAGGAGGCCCAGATCAGGTATGGAGAGATGACGGCAGATAGACCCACAAGCAGATCGTATAATCGTAGAAGGGAACGGGAGTAGGGATCCCGAAGAAGAATGGCTTGCTGGTTTTGTGGAGGGGATCATATTTTACGGAGATGTCCCACTATTAGCACCAACAATCAAATGTTAGCGGTACAGGAGGACGAACCTGTGGTAGGACAAGGGAACAGTGTATGAGGGGTAGAATTAAGTAGAAGTGTGAAGGTGTTGAAGTTATTAAAAAGAAAGATATATTTTTTTTTATGTTATGATTTGAATATTTAAATGATAGATGAATATTTAAGTTATCTGTAATGAACTTACATTTTTTTAAAAATTTTGCATAAACAAATTTTTTTTATTTGAACATAAAAACCCATGATTATTAACGAACGTCTATGTACGAATAATATTATAGATTATTGTTATTTTGCATAGAAAATGTTTTGTTTTTGCATAGCAAATTTTTTATATATAAACTCGCAATTTTTTATAAAATACAATCAATCGGATATTGGAAAATAAATAACTAGTAATCTTTTAAAGGGTATTATTAAAATTATAGTAAATATAATCTTACAATTATTTATATCGAAAACATTAAAAATTCGACAATATTTATAATCAAATTTATCTTATTGTTTATTTAAATAAATGTAATTTCCCTTAAGCTTATAAAATATGGAAATAAAAATATGATTATTAAGTCTGCTGTCATCATTCCGACGAAAATTATTTTAAACTAACCCTCCATACACCTCTAATAATACCAAAGAAGCAAAGCTTTCCGGACATTTTTTTAAAAAACATACCTCCTGAATAGGGTTAAAGTTAAAAAAATATTTAAAATTTATAAAATGGTTTGACAATTTGTATAATAAAGTGTTATATATAATTACATATCGAATACCTTATTTCTTTATAAATGTAATATGATTGGTATCTGTTAGACATGTGTTAAACAGTGAGCGACACTTTTGCTTTTTAAAAAATCTTTAGTATATCATAAAAAAAATTAAAAATGAAATATGACATTTATATCTAATGACAGATGATATATAAATTGATATTAACTTTTCGTAAGAGACGATAATCCATATGAAAAAAATTTATGAAAATAAATATACTAATCAATATTTTAAATTTTTAACACAATTCATTCTGTTAAAAATATAATTATATTCATTTAATTATTTTCCCATCATTATTAGAAAATTCATGCCATAATGATCTATGTTAAATAATTAACAAAATAAAAGTCAATCCCATAAATGGTAATACAAAAGGAAATGTAACAGAATATTTTAAAAGGTAATAATCACTTAGTTATTTTTTACATCATTTTATGAGTATTCATGATAATGATCTATATAGCAAAATAAAAGTCAATCCCATAAACAGTAATTATTTGTCATAATTATATGAAAAGAATTGTAAAAATTTTACATTTCAACATATATAAATTCATGAACGCATAAAAGAATCGCAAGAAAGAAATAATATCAAAAATCTTCAAATAAATATAGATGTCATTGTATGTAGAGAACTGCACGGGCTGTCCGTAGCCCGACCCGACCCGACCCGACCCGAGCCTCGGGCTCGGGTCGGGTTCGGACATCAAAAAAAAATTTCTCGGGTTCGGGCTCGGGTCGGGTTGTAAAAGCTGTCCGACCCGAAAACCCGACCCGACCCGACCCGAAAATATATATAATAATATTAATATCTTAAATAGTTAGTATAATTTATAATATTAATTATAAAATCATACTATTTAATATTTATCACATTTTAGGATTAAAATGTCAATCATATTAACATGTCATGTCATTATTAATTATTATTTTATAAACCTAACAACCGGATACCAAACTATTTTATTACTAAATTGTGTTTCTCGTAAATTACAAGATAAGACATATTTTATGTAAGTTTTATTTATTATTTAACTAGCCTATACATTGTCTTTTTTAACATTTGTTTTAACCCTTCACTACAAAGGTAGAAAAAACTCCCTTAACTACAAAGGTGGGGTCTATTTTACCCCAAATTTTGATTAGATATATCTCAAAACATATTAAAAATTGAGATCTAAAATTTTGAGTATATATTTAAAAAATATTGGAAATAATAAATACAAAATCTTAGATTAATATTTACTTCCAAAAAAAAGTTAGAAAAATTTTCCTAAAATTACTGAAATAAAATTTTCTTTTTCAGTACTTCCTTTAATTATTTTATTATCACTAAATAAAATTCAAAAAATTCAAATTTTATTAAATCAATGTTGAATAATGATAATTACATAAATTTTATAAAAAAATATCATATATCAAAAAAAATATTAATCATCAAATATGTAAAATTATTAAAAAATAATAATGTAAATATATATCTTAATATTATTATTGAATATTTTTTTCTTAAGAAACTACAGAGGTGGTAGATACGTTTTTGGACTTCTCTCTATGGGAGGCTGACAATGCGTATTCTGATGCTAGCGCCGAAGTTGACGAGCTAAAAAAATATCTAGATCCGAAATTATGTGTTGATGACGATAATATTTTAAAATGGTGGAAAACAAACCATTATGAGTTTCCAAATTTAAGTATTTTAGCTCTTAAATTCCTGGCTATCCCTGCTTCGTCGGCTAGCAGTGAAAGGGCGTTTTCAGCTGCTGGTAGGGCCTTTGAGGAGAGAAGGACTCGTTTAAAGCCAGATAAACTGGACGCCTCTTTATTTATATATCATAATTATTCACTTTGTGATAATTTTGATAATGATATTGATGAGGTCAATATATAATATAATATGTTCATTATATTTTTTATATATTTATTAACTTTTACATCATATCTATATTCGCATAAATGATGCTTATTATATAATCGTTATAATTTTTAAATTCGCTTGTATATTAATCGTTTTATAATATTTTTTACAAATTTTAAAAATGCAACTTAATATATATCTTGAATAGATTATGGCCGTCAAATAAACTTTTATTTAAGGTGGCTGAACTGAATAAATACACATAAATTTTTTTTTGGTTATTATAATATTAAAACTTAAATTGCAAAATTTTATTCGGGTCGGGCTCGGGTCGGGTCGGGTTGGATTAAAAAATGTGTGCTCGGGCTCGGGTCGGGCTCGGACAAAAAAAAATTTTAAATTCGGGCTCGGGTCGGGCTCGGGTTGCGAAAAAATTACTTTGCAGTTCTCTAATTGTATGGATATTATTTTTTGGGGGAAGAAATAAAGATTTCATTATATGATGAAGATAAATTAACCCCAATGATCTTAGTAGACTTGTTTACGCAATATAATATATTAATATTTCTTGCTGACAAATAATGTATAACCAAACTACAAAATGGAGCTACTGATTACAATGACACTTTTAAAATGCGTTTAGTGAATGAATCGCCAATCTATAGTATATATCATTGATTAACATATATTATTTTGGTCAAATATATGATATAATTATTAAATATTAATTAACAAATCTGAATTTATTAAAAAATAATTAATAAATTTTTATTTATTAAAAATTAATTAATAAATTTGTATTTATTAATAATTAATTAATAAATCTGTATTTACATTTAAAATAACAATATACTATCTATATATATAATCCTCAAAAAATGTCAATCAAATTTAGCCAATAGTTTTCTTTTAAATATTATTTGTCCAATCAAAATGATTATAGCAAATTTGATCAATGGTAATCAACGTGAAAACTAAATCATTCATTCATAAATCACTTCCATATGCCCCAAATTAAGCAAACATTAAGTATATCTATACTGGGAAAATGAACTTAACTTCTCAAAAAGTAAATCTATTATATTCAATTATTATTTTTTTCAAGATAATTATTTTCTTACGTATAAAATACATGCAACTTAAAATTAAATTATATCAGGCTCAACAGGAAATTATATAAAAATATTGTTCAGTCTGGATGGTCAATATTTTAGCAAGATTTGTTCAAACCAATTTAATCAGAGTACAAGATAATGCCACCCTTAAGATTTTTTATTATAAACATCCCTCTGGCTAAACTGATTTTTATAGGTCGATTGGATCTGATATTAGTGTTGTCAAGGGCCTGTTTTTGATATTACATGTTTATAAAATAAAAATATCTAGGGATCTACCAATATCTTTAACAGATTGAACAGATATTTTGTCTTTTTAAAAATATTATCTGCCAATTATATAAAAAATTTTATCCAATCCGATAAAATTGTTTATTACTTATTATGTATATAGATAATGATATATAAATAAGTGATTTATCATTAAAAATTATAATAAACTATAAATGATAATTACAATATATTTAAAGGACTTATGTTATTGTATAATTAAATTATAGATGTTATACTATTAAAAAGTATATGAGATGTGTAGATATATGTATTAAAATTTAAAACCTAAAATGTTTACAGACTATAGATCAGTAATCAGCTATTATTAATTTAATAATTTCAATATTGAATTGGATCAGATTCCAAATAGTAATTTCGATGCACCCCCAGAGATAGCTATATATTTATGCTATTTTATTCATCAATTGTTTGTTTTTTTGGAATTTATTTTTGCAAACTGCAGGCAATTTTTTTAAATTCTATTTGACCTAAGAAAGATATATATTTTTTACATGGGTGCAGAGTTTAATGAGTAGTTGAAAATATAAAATTACATCATTTTCTAAGGTTTGAGATAAGTTAGATTTCAAGTTTTTCTCCCACGAATAGATCTAGCACCAAGTGACTCTCAGTTACCATTTACTTTAAAAAGATGATAGTTTCCTATAATTCCCGCTTTTGTGATTACAATAAATAAAAGTCAAGGACAAACTTTTGATCATGTAGGCTTATTCCTCCCTGAGCCCGTCTTTGCCCATGGACAACTATATGTGGCTCTTACTAGATGTAAATCTCAAAATAATATGAAAATTATGATTTTGCCATCAAAATTACAAGGAAAAATTTTAAAAAATGATAAAACATTCACACAAAATATCTTATATAATGAAATCTTAAATTCATAATTTGTAAGAAATTTAAAAAAGTCACCAACTTTGTTATTCACCATCAAATCACCAACTTTACATCATCTTCAAAAACGAAACCACCTTGAGCAAAGAAAAGAGAACTTCTTCACCATCGCTAAACCATCTTCCTCACCAACAACAGTAAATTCTATTTTATAATTTCAATTTACACTTCAGGTTATTTACGGCAAACTACGAGCAAGGAAATTACAACATCATCTTCAAAAACGAAACCACATTGAGCAAAGAAAAGAGAACTTCTTCACCATCGCTAAACCATCTTCCTCACCAACAACAGTAAATTCTATTTTATAATTTCAATTTACACGTTTTATTTCAGGTTATTTATGGCAAACTACAAGCAAGGAAATTACAACATCATCTTCAAAAACGAAACCACATTGAGCAAAGAAAAGAGAACTTCTTCACCATCGCTAAACCATCTTCCTCACCAACAACAGTAAATTCTATTTTATAATTTCAATTTACACGTTTTATTTCAGGTTATTTATGGCAAACTACAAGCAAGGAAATTACAACATCATCTTCAAAAACGAAACCACATTGAGCAAAGAAAAGAGAACTTCTTCACCATCGCTAAACCATCTTCCTCACCAACAACAGTAAATTCTATTTTATAATTTCAATTTACACGTTTTTTTTCAGGTTATTTATAGCAAACTACGAGCAAGGAAATTACAACATCATCCTCAAAAGCGAAACCACATTCAGCAAAAAAAAGAGAACTTCTTCACCAGCGTCTACATGGCCGGGGGGGGGGGGGGTAGGAGACAAATGCCTCCAAAATATATTAGCATTTTTGGGGGTAGGTATCGATTTTAAGGGTTGATATTAATTTTTTGGGGGTAGGCATTATTTTTTTGGGGGTAGGTATTGATTTTTGGTGGTTGATATTAATTTTTTGGGGGTAGGTATTGATTTTTGGTGGGTAATTTTTGATTTGAATTATAATATTTTTTTAATCCATTAATTGATACGATTATGATGGTTATCGTTTGATTTTCTGAAAAATGTCAATTAAAGTAAAGATATTTGTCAATTAATAAATAATATAAATTTTCTTTGTCAACGATTTTCATTTAGCATTTTATCAAGTTAATATTTACACATTTCCTATTTGGTACTTTTCTTAGAGGTTAATATATTTATATTATGTTTTTTAATAAATTTATAGATTTTAGCAGGATAAATTTTAGGTAATTTTTTGAGTCATGCATAAAAACATATATCAGCAAGCAAAGAATAATAAAAAACATAATATGTAAAAAATTATATTATAATAATTATTTCTTTCTAGATGCCAAGTAACAAAACCATATTTAAAGTTAAGTGCAATATTAAAAATTGCAAAACTTCTAAAATAAGAAGTGACAAGATACATGAACATTATAAACATAAACATCCTCATGTCAAGCCAGCTGATATGAAATTTACAAAGGTAGCCATCAAAAGAGATAATAATAATTGGGTATCTTTAAATTGTGATATTCCATATAATATCACAAATGGAGTTGAAACCCAGTTGCAAAAAAAGACAATAACATCTTACTTCCAAAAAGTAATATTTTTATTTATTATAAATTTGTGAATTAATAGAAACTGATTTAAAATTTTACCAGAATAATATTAATATTAAAGTAGTCAGGGTATAGAGAAAATAAATTATATATATTATTATTTAATGTTTTTTTAACTGTTTATCACACTATTTTTATATCTATATATACTTTATAAAGTTCAATTTAACAATATGTTTAATAAGTTAATAATAATAATTTAAAACCAAAGTATTAAAAAAACTTATTAAGTTAATATAATGTAGTAAAATAAGGTAATGTTAATTTCTAGGAATTTTTAAATTTAAATCTTTTCATCTTTAATTGAATTAAGACTTCAAATTCTTTTACTTTTTTTAAATATAAATCTTATAAAATATGATTTGGAATCAACTATTTTCAAAATGTTATCTGTGTGAGTTTCATCCCCTTTATTTACATTATGTATTATATTAGGTATGTTTATTATCATTGTTTTATTTAGCTATTAGAATTTCTTTAGATAATATACTTTCATCATGAATTTCACAATTTTATTTATACTTAATATTGTTTTTATTTTTATAGTCATTATAATATTGTTTTATGATTTCTTCATGTGATCGCAGTTTTATATTAATCTGCATCTATCATGCCTATGAATCTTTCAAGTATATTTTAAAAATGTTTTTACATGATCTAACAAAGTCATATTGATGTTTATGATTATTGCGTTCAAAATATGTGAATTCCCTTTGTATTCTACATTCACTTGTGCTTTACCTATTACTTGTATCATCTTTCCATTGTAACCTGATAACTTTATGTTGGACTTCATAATATTTTTAATACCTGTTTTCTCAATCATGTATTCATGTAGAATTAAAACATTTATTAAAAACTTAATTATAATGTAGTTAAAAAAAATTATCATTTGCCTAAAAATTTATTAAAAATATAGTTATCATAAGGAAAGAAATTAAACTCCTCTTTATTTATAGAAAATCTCAGTTATTGAAGATTCACAAATTGTATTATCTCCTCATCCAATCCCCAGTTCCAGTGAGGTGTTTACTTTGTATGATGAGGTATTTAATTTAAATACGAATTATATGATAACTTTTGAAAGAAATAAATTATGATTATGATATTAATTAAATATTTCCAACCTTTATTAAAAACTTAATTATAATGTAGTTAAGAATAAAATGACCATTTGACTAAAATTTTATTAAAAATATAGTTTTTCATAAGTAAACAAATTATACTCTTTATAGCAAATCTCCAATATTGAAGATTCACAAATTGTATTATCTTCTCATCCAATCCCCAGTTCCAGTGAGGCGCTTACTTTGCATGATGAGGTATTTAATTTAAATACGAATTATATGATAACTTTTGAAGAAAATAAATTAGGACATTTAAATATTTCCAACATTTATTGATTAACTTAATTATAATGTAGCTAATAATAAAATGACCATTTGGCTGAAATTATATTAAAAATAGATTTTCATAAGTAAACAAATTATACTCTTTATTTATAGCAAATCTCCAATATTGAAGATTCACAAATTGTATTATCTCCTCATCCAATCCCCGGTTCTAGTGAGGCACTTACTTTGCATGAGGCATTATATTTAAATAAAATTTATATAATGACTTTTGAAGGGAATAAATTATGAGGATATTCAAAGTCCAAGTCTTATTCAGCTATACAAAAAAAAGGAACCAAATGACCCTTTTCACTTTATATTATTTAGGATGACAAATATTTTGATAAATTTCATAATTGCTGTAGGCCCTTGTCAGCCATGTACAAATAAATTTCAATATCCTGTTACTAACAAGAGGTTTTAAATAATATTTATTTTCATTAATTTTTACCCATCCATTATTTCTATACCAATATATTTTTTTTTACTTTTTAAACAGGAGCATGAATATAACCTATTATAGAAAGGTTAATATAGATGGTTCCCTCAACCCCAGAAATTGGCTATCTTATAGCACTACTTTAGACAAAGTCTTTTGTCTATATTGTATTATGTTTGGTGGCCCTAAGTCCAATACTTTTTGGACTCAACATGGGGTAAATAATTGGAAAAACATAAAGCGTGACTTAGAGAGACACGAAGCATCTTCTCTTCATAAAGATTGTGAATATGCAAACATGACTTGGCTTGCAAATAAACGCATTCAAGATCATTTGCTATCAAATAAGCTTGATATAATCATGGAAAATCGTAATATAGTTCATAATATTATCAATGCCATTATGTACCTTATAAAATGTAATATAGCCTTTTGGGGTTCTAATTCGAATGAAGGTAATTTTATGTGTCTCATAAAATTAATGGCAAAAACGGTTCCAACTTTACGTGCATACATGGATAACAACGAAAAATTGCGGAGAAAAAAATCAGATAAAATTTCGAGACCTTATATAAATTTACTGTCATATGGCCACGTGAAAAAAATAACTGAAATTATTAAGATAAAAATAACAAAAAGCATTATTCAAACAATTAAAGAGAATCGTGCCTATAGCATCATATTAGATGGAACATATGATGTGTCTAAAAAAGAATGCATAGCTTTGCTTGTACGGTATATAGAAGATGATCTGCATCCACATCCTGTAGAAAGGATCATACATGTTTTTACAACATCAGAAACCCCTGGGGAAAATATAAAGAAACATGTTTTTTCTAAGTTTAATGATCTTGGTCTTCCTCTTGATTATTTGGTTGGACAAAGTATGGATGGTGCAGGGAATATGAGAGGAGTATACAAAGGAATGCAGGCTTTAATATTGAAAGAGGCTCCAAAAGCCATCTATATTTGGTGCCATGCACATCGGCTAAATTTAGTAGTTGCTCATGTTTGTGGATGCAAAATTGAAATGAAAAAGGCAATGGGAATATTAGATGAGTTATATAATTTTATGAATGGAGTTAGACGTCAAGATGTGTTTGTTAAATATCAAATGAGAAAGTCCAAGAAATCTCTTAAAAGAATTAAAAACACAACAAGGTAAATAAAATATTTTTAATGAAACTTGAAACTTATATATTTTCAGAAATTGGTCATCATCCTACAAATCTGTAGAAATCTTTTTAGATGTTTATGAACATATTTTAGCATCATTAGTTGAATTAAAAGATTCTAATGACCCAAGCACCTCTTCCATTGCCGATGGGTTAGTATCAAGAATTAAAGATGAAAATTTTATATTAAGTCTTTTTATTTTGAAAGAAATATTGAAATGTACACATGAGGCTTGTATTGAAATGCAGGCAGTTGGTAATGATTTGGCTTTGGTAACCAAATTAATACAACATACAAAAAATAAATTACAAAAACTAAAAGGTTAATATTAGTTACTATTTCTATAAATAATTTTAAAATATAGCTAATGGAGACAATATATTTTTAAAATTACATTCCTTATCTAATAGTTTTTTGAAAAAGAATAATGTAATAACTGATTTGTATAATATGAAATCAATATTCAAATTGGATCAAACAGAATTCAATAATTATGTTGAACAAAAAAAAACAAGTTGAATAAATTAAAAAAATTTAAATTATTATTTATTATTATAGATATAGAACGGAAATATTTTTCCCTGTTCTAAATGCAATAATTAATCACCTAAATGATCGATTTAATTATGATTGTTTAAATTTTTTATCACAGATATCCATTTTTACTCCCGCTGGAATTATGGATAATGAAAAAATAGAAGGATGGCAAATATCCGAAATTTGTAATACTTATCAATTGGATGTCCAAAACATTGTTGATGAATATAATGATTTTCGCTCTTTATATTTGGAGTCTCAATCAATCATTTTTTGCGAAGATCTTTTAAAAGTTAAAAAGAATGACTCGTTATATATTGATGAAAGTAATTTATTGATATTTTATTTGTAATTGTATATAATTAAAGGTATTGCAAACGATCAAATTACCAAAGAAAATATCAACAGCGAAATCATGACCAAAATAAAAAAATGGATAAAATTTTCTTTTATATTACCATACCGACTTTTAAATCAATTAAATTCTTATTCAAATTTAAATTTATTATATAAATATTTATTAACCCTTCCTACAACTTCCTGTTCAGCCGAAAGAGCCATGAGTAAAGTAAAAATTAAGCGGAATAAAATTTCGGACCCATTTTTGGAAAATTTACTGTTAATATCCAGCGAAATTGATGTTTTTGAAAAATTTACAATTGATGATATTATAACACAATTTGCTTTAACATCAATAAGGTTATCCAAATTATTAATAAAATAATTAATGTATCCTTTTCACAGCGAATATATAGGCTTTTAAATAATGTATATTTAATTTAACATTTTATAATTTCAATGCAAAATATACTATAATTCATTTTATTCTAATATTTTATATAATAGCTCTATTTACAATACATGTTTTTAATTATGTGGAATCAAGCTAAATATACCTCTTTAAATTTATTCGTCTTATATTTTTTACAATATTTTAGATCTTTTTCATAGAAATATTAATATATTATCTCATTTAATTCACTTATATATATTTTATGAAAATAAAGTGAATACCAAATTATGAAAAGATTGCATTATTTAAATAAAAGTTCATTATCACTTACAAATTTTTAAATTTTTTTTCCCTAAATAGGCTTGAAAGATTGTAAATAGAATTATGTTGTAAGGTTATAAATGGTGGCAGATAAGATTTTTTAAATAAAATCACTATACCATCGTAGGTCTGTAAATTTCGCGGCCGAAGGCCGCAGGATTTTTTTAGGTGGGTATGGGTAGATTTTGGAGGGGTTTGCCTCCATCAAATTTTCTGCCATGTAGACGCTGTTCTTCACCATCGCTAAACCATCTTCCTCACCAACAACAGTAAATTCTATTTTATAATTTCAATTTACACGTTTTTTTTCAGGTTATTTACGGCAAACTACGAGCTAGGAAATTACAACATCATCTTCAAAAACGAAACCACATTGAGCAAAGAAAAGAGAACTTCTTCACCATCTCTAAACCATCTTCCTCACCAACAACAGTAAATTTTATTTTATAATTTCAATTTACACTGTTTTTTTCAGGTTATTTACGGCAAACTACGAGCAAGGAAATTACAACATCATCTTCAAAAACAAAACCACATTGAGCAAAGAAAAGAGAACTTATATTATTCATCAATCATTGAATAAAAAAGACAATTCATCACTCTTAGTCTTAATGGGTTGGAATTGGCCTGAAGGAGGAGGGGGAGGGGTATATCGTTAAAGAACGAATAAAATTCTCATCCCCGTCATTTTTGACGGGTTATCAACTAGTATTATAATAATCCTCAAAAAACGTCAATCAAATTCAACCATCTTTTAAAAAAATATTTGTCCAATGATAATCATCATAACAACTTTAAGCCAATAGTAATTCCCATGTGATTACTAATATGGCGAATATACTTAACACAATATCCATATCAAATTTACAGGTAAAATATTGTTTTTTCAACAAATTTTATTTTGATAATATTTTTAAAATATTTGTTGCTGAACACCAAAGTAAACACAATTTATTTCAGTATATCCAAAGAATAGGCAAGTTTAAATTCTTCTATTATTTTATTTTTGATGTGTAAACTTTCATTAGAGTCTATGACATCTGGGCTGAATCAAGGAGAGTTAGCTTCAAAATTAAACCTCAATTATTTTATTTTTGCTGAGATCACAAATACAATTATTCAAATATTTTATTGGAATGATTTGAATCAGTAATATCAGGATCTTTATATTATACCATTCAGTCAGTTAAAACTCTTAACATAATACTTGAAAACTTTTTAAAGGACCATACAGAATGAATTGATTATTTTTTGTTAATGGAATAATATATCTTCATCAATAAGAAGAATTAGGGTAGAAAAATCTAATATTAGCTATAATTTATTTTATAGGTTAAAATTCTAAGATTTTTTTTATATTAATATATTCTTAAATAATCAATCTATCAAAAAAATTATTTGTGGCAAAAATGGATAGAATAACCTCTAACTCAGATGACAAAATATTTTAATGATTGAAAATGATTAAATATTTTAAAAAGTGATCTTTCTGGGGAGGCTTGAGGTCCATAGGGTGCCAGGTATAATATATTTACTAATGTGCCTGAGCCAGGACTGGGTTTTAAAGCATTAAATTAAATTTTTGGATATGACAATTTCAAGCCTGATAAATTTCACTTCAAGCCTGATGGTTAAAATATACTACTTTTTTCCCCTCTTACCGCGCTCACGAATAATACTTGATATTTTTCTTTTACAATATATTACTTTTTTTTCTTTTTTGACTAAATATAATGATTTTTTTTTCTTACTTGATTTTTCCTTCATTTTTTTTTCCCTTACTTTCTTCTTTTTTAAATTTGAACACCAACTCTTGAAGCACACAAAAACTAAATTAAAAAAGATAAACTAAAAGAATAATTTATTTTGTTTTTTTTTCTTCTTTTTATAATCATAGCGAAAAATAACAAAATTAATTATTTACAAAAAAAACAATAATAATAATTTTTCACCAAAACAATACTATTTAATTGTTAATTAAAAAAAAACTATTTATTTTACTATTATATGACAGGTTTGGGCAAAATTTTTGAAACTTATGATTGGGTCAATGATATATCATTGGATTTAGTTTGAATTTTTTTATTAAATATGGAATGGGCCCGCAAATTATTTTTACTGCTGATCTGGGCTGGAGGCTTGTAAATAAATCAAGGCCCATGAATGTCTCTAATTTCAATAACTGAATTATTTAATTTCCCATCTAACTTTATTTGAACTTAAAGGAATAGGAAAACCATAGATATGCCTTATTTAAATTATTTAAAAAATTTATAATTGCTGGATACAAGAAGTTGTTGGACACAAGGAAATAAAGGAAGCCATTGTGAAGTGTATATATGGAAGGAATATTAATCCATTTTTTTAGCATAAACAACAAAAAAATAATGCCTGTTGTGATTTTGTCTTAAATTTACATATATTTTAGGGATTTTTTAAGAACCCGTTATCAAAAATATAAGTTGCTAGCTGATAGCTCATCGTGAATGACGGGGAATCAGAATTTTCTTCTTTATTCAATTAAATTTTTTTGGAAAAACCCTTAGAGTGCAGATTCATGAATTGCTACCATAAGGGTATTTGAGGATTATTATAATAGATAGATTGAGCACATAAATATAATTTTTACAGATTTTTGATAACCCGTCAAGAATGATAGGGAATCAGAATTTTCTTCTTTATTCAATGATGGATGATTTTACCTTTATTTGATGATGAATGAATCAGAAATTTTCTTATCTTATGAGATGTGATTCAGAAATTTATATTTATTTAGATGAGGAGTTATTCTAAAATTTTCCATTAATTTTTATAAAAAATGTTTATTAAGTATAAAGGTTAGTAATTTTAATTTATGTGCATAATAAAAAATCTTTTAAACTAAATATTTATGTATTTGTAATTTAAAATAAAAAATATATTCTTACTTGAATCTCATAAGATAAGAAAATTTCTGATTCATTTATCGTCAAATAAAGGTAAAATATATTATTCATCCATCATTGAATAAAGAAGAAAATTTATATTCCCTGTCATTCTTTACGGGCTATCAAAAATCTGTAAAAATTATATATATGTGCTAAATCTATCTATTATAATAATCCTCAAATACCCTTACGACAGCAATTCTTGCATCTGCTATCTGAGGGTTTTTCCAAAAATAGAATCCTTGAGTTAAGAAGAAAATTCTGATTCCCCGTCATTCTTGACGGGTTATCATCTAGTATAATATTAATCTTATAAATTTAATAGAAATTAATTATAAATAACATATAAATTAAATATTTTATATAAAATATTATATATATTACATGAATTTTTCTAATTACTTAAATTGTATAAAAAATTAGAATATTTTGTTGATCCATATTCAGGGTTGCCCATCTTCCCCCATCAGCGGGAGACTCCCGCAATTTTTTAGTTTACACGCAGACATCTCTCTCCCGCAAAACTACCGCAATTGGAAATCTCAAAAATCTACCGCAATTTTTTAATTTCTTCCGCAATTTTTTTTTAATAGTATTTTAACGTTTTTAAAATATAAATAATAATTTTGAGAGACATTAATTGATTATTTTTATATTTTTAAATAAATTTTAAATATTTATTCGAATAACATGTCTAGTTTGTAAATTTCTTTCTATCCTGTTTTATTTATATCCAACAATAAATCAACATCATTTCATTCATATAAATCAGTACAGGGGAGTATAACAACATCGATTGCAATACAAAAATATTCTCAAAAATAATCTATAATCCTCAAAAAACGTCAATCAAATTTAGCCAATAATGTTCTTTTAAAAAAAATTTGTCCAATAAAAATGACTATAGAGTAAACGGTCCAATAGTAATCATGTAACAACCTTATAATTCATTCAATTTTATAACACATTTTACCATCTTCACTTCATAAGGTTTTTGTTTAGTTTATATAGTTAACCTACAGGAAACGTTAATATATTGGAATATTCAAGTCTTTTAAAATTGGCTTCAAAGAAATTTAAACTTCAAACTGGGTAGAATAAAGGAGAGTTTTAATGTCACGGTATGTCTCTAGGAATTTAGGGGTAAAACAATTTTGTTATCAAAACTATTTTTAAAGTATAATTTTATAAACATTTTGAATATTTTAATTTTTTTAAAAAATTTGTGAAAATTTTAAAGATTTTTTAAAACATTTTGGATGCAGCTTAAAATAAAATTTTAGTTAATTATTATTCAATAAATTTTTGGATTTAAAGAAAAATTATTTGTAGAATATAATAATATTTCTTAAAATAATAAAAATAAAATTTGGTATCTATTTTATCTTTACTTTTGGAATAATAATAAAAATGATTATTTTAGAAAGGAACTATTAATACACATGAATTTCATATAAAACTTATAAAAAATTATTTAAATGCTTTTAAGACCTTTATAAATACTCTTTTAAACAAAGACCTCCTATCATAGATTTAAATCAAATATGAGGTCAACCTGATTGTGTCACAAAAACTCTGTGGTGGCATCCATTGGCTATTTAGAAGATTATTGGTAAGGGTCAAAATCCAGCGTCTTAATTTATTAGGTATACATAGCATATAAGATTGATTGTGGGAGAAGTTAAAAGAATATTTATGAAGGTCTTAAAAGCATTTAAATAATTTTTTATGATAAGTGTAGGTTTTATATGAAATTCATGTGTTAAAATTACAATAGAAATGATACAATATCTTTTAGGAATAGGAATATTTTTATTAATAACTATAGGGTTTTCATTTTCTTTGTTGGCATTATCTTGATCTAGCTATTATTCAATAATATATAACAAATAATAGTAACATAATGTACAGAATAATTAGACATAGTGATAGCAATTTCATTAAGGTATGATGCAATTAATTTTATATACATATATAAAATAATACTGTTCCGAGATGTCAATTTTTAGATTCCTAAAATAAAAAACTATTTTATATTTTTGCCTTTTAATATTTTACATTTGTCTGTCAATTTTAAAATTGACTCAGAATATTTGGTAATATCATCAATATTTTCTTTTAACCATATATATTGTTTGACATATAGTAGCTCCTTATTTTCCAGCACCTTTTAATGTTACGATCTGAGTTATTGTAATATATTTATTGTATGGTTTAAGAGAAAATTGATAGATATTCCAAGAGAAATTGCAGAGATTATTAGCAGTGTAACATTTTGAAGAATAAAATAAAGAATTAAATAATTTTGTAAAAATTGTCCACTACTTCAATTACCATTAAATAATTCAATCTATTATAATATAGTGTTGTATATTTTCTCATAACTTCATAATTGTAGAATGTATGTTATTCATAACTTATTATAACATTTTTGATGAAATGTATAACATATTTGTTTTACTTATATATAATTTGACTATGATTGTAGTTAACCTCCTATTATTTGATAACTTAAAATATCTTTTTATTTTTCTATTGTAATTTAATATCAATTTCTTAAATTTAATTTTATAATTTGTAATTAAATAATAAATCATTTGGAAAGGTGGTGGTTTGTTTAAAATTTAAATTAGGATGATTTTCAGCATGGTACTTTAATGTGTATTCATGAATTTCATATATTGATAGATAAATCAGATATTTCCCCTTCATTTGATGATAATTTTGGAAAATTTTCCCAATTAATATATACATATATTAGACAGATTTTAATTCTTATAAACCTCTTATATTTTTTAGGATCCAAGAAAAAAATTAATTATTCTTAGTTTTCCTAGGCTTGGGAAATATTTTTCACAATTAATTTGGACTTGGACGTAGCTTGCTAAACATTTTTCAAAAATTTTTTTAATTTTAAATATAGGCTAGAAATTGGCCTGAAAA